GGAGGTGACGCGATGGCACCTGACAACTTTGAGTGAAGACCCTGTAGCGATTAGTTTCTCAGTAAATGCACTAAATCGGCTAGTACACCACAGTGAAACCTGGGGGAGCCAGAGCTCGGCGAGACCGCCCTGGTTTTCTGGGTCTCGAGTTTTCTGCCTCTGACAGGGCTCCATCACCTTTTCCATGGCTGTTAGCGGGAGATTTTGTGTTTTCCTTCTCTGACAGGTCTCAGCCTTAACGGCTTCCAGCTTTTGCACGTTTCACTGTCATGTCCTCTTCCCTTGTCCAGTCAGTCTGACGAGTAGAGACCCATTTGCTAGGGGCCTGCTTCCCTTCTGCCCCCAGGAGCTTGCTGGTCCTTGTGGGTCATGGTAGGGAGGTGTTTGTTGTCCTGGTTGGTATTTGCCCAGTGCCCAGGTTCCCAGGCAAATGTTAAGGGTGACTGATAGAGCCCTGAACTGTGCGTCACATGGTCTCATTCGTCCTCGACTTGAGTATCACTTCCCCACCTGAGCCTTCCTCTTTGGAGAAGTCAAAGGAAGCAGGGATTTTGAGTCACTCTCAGCTGGTCACTCTCCTTTCCTGACCCCAGGCCACTGTGAGCCTTTGGGGAGACGGGCCACAGAGCCACAGCAGTGGGTGATGAAACCATGTTTATTTATGTGGATTGACGTTGTGTCACGGACTCCACAGAGTGCCTGGGCTTATGCAGCACCGTGGACTCCCAGAGAGTGCCTGGTGCCATGGACTCCACGGAGGGTGCCTGGGCTTACACGGCGCCGTGACCTTTACAGAGTACCTGGGCTTACGCAGTGCCGTGGACTCTACAGAGCGTGCCTGGGCTTACACACCACCGTGGACTCCCAGAGTCCCCGGTGCCATGGACTCCATGGAGAGTGCCCTGGCTTATGCAGCATTATGGACCCCAAAGAGTGCCCGGGCTCATGCGGCACTGTGGACTCGGAGAGTACCTGGGCTTAAGTGCCGTGGGCTCTCTGAACCGTGCAGCTGTCTAGGTGGAGGTATTTGATAAAAACATTGAAAATGTCCTTCCGTGGAAGCTGTTCTGTTTTGGAGAAAGAAAATTGTAGTTTTGTTATGACATGGAGAAGCTCTAAGTGAATCAAGTAACTTAAGTAATTTTTTTGAGGAGTGTTTTCACTTAGAAATGTAATTTTTTTTTCCCCAGTGATTTTTTAAATGAGTATGAGAAAGGAAGGACCCCGAACCCCGACATAGTGTGCAACAAGCACATCAAATTCAGCTGTCTCCTTCGTTACGCCATGGATAATCTGGGTGAGTCACTGGGCTTACTCTCATTTGTTTTTAAATCACGGTTTCCAGGGACAGCTGGGAGCAGAGACCTCCTCTCAGAAGGAGGGAACCAGTGGAAATGATGGTATTTTGCATTTTATTCTGAGCAAGAGAGGACTTTGTGGTGATTTGCAAGGACGGGATCCTTGGAAGGAGAGAATGGACCTCAGCTGTGTACCATTTTATTCTGAGCCAGAAAGGACTCTGTGGTGATTTGCAAGGACAGGGTCCTTGGGAGGAGAGAGTGGACCTCAGCTGTGTGTGGAAGTGTCCTGTCATCAGGAAAACCTAGTTCACACGGTCTGAGAAAGAGACGTCCTATCCTGGCCAAAGACTCGGGAAGTGGTAGTGCTCGGGGCAAGAGAGTCTGAACAAGCAGGATTGTGAGTATAGGTTGTTAGTGGCCTTAAAGGGACAGCAACAGCAAGGAAAAGGCGATTGAGACCGAACGAGGACTGAGGCTGCGCCGCTGCCAGGCAGGTGAGGCCTTCAGGGAAACGCTATAGACAGCAGCAGTGCACCGAGAGGCCTCTCGGTTTGCTCAGCTCACCTGCCACGCGTGCTCAGAGCAATAACATAAGACGGAGGAGGCCCACGGGGGGCACCGGGCTGTGGGCAGTGGGCCAGCAGCCTGCAGTTTCTCTTTGACTTTATTTCACTCTCGCAAGCAGGAGCCACATTGGTGCGGAGATGGCTGTGGCCCAGAGGAGGCAAGACGGCACCTCGTCTTGATGACTGTTCTGTGGGCCGTGGGGCCACCAAGGCCTTGGGCATCATCTGGACCAGCCCTGCCTGGTTCTGTTGGCAGACTCTGCCTGCCCCTCTGCTGGGCTACCACACGCTGCCTGCAGGCTCAGCTCGGCTCTCAGCTCTCGTTCCTGACGTGACTGCATTCAGGGGAAGCTTCTGGAGCCCTCATCCAGGGTTCAGGAAGCTCGGCGTTTGGTCATCCTATTCATGAGGCCACTGAGACGTTTGCTTTTGCTTCCAAAGAGGGTGTTTTGTTGTGAGAAGAGGTCGGCTGTCTGTACCCAGCTCCTCGTCCTGGGTGTCCGCTTCTCAGTGTTTGACACCATGTCATAGTGGTCTGGTCTAGAGCCCAGCCAGTGGTCAGAGGCCTGCTGCCAGCTGCCGCCATGCCACCCATCTGAATCTGCAGGTGTTTGTTCTGAGTGTCTCATTTCTAGATTCCATTTGCCTGTAAGGACACCTCTGGCACCTTTCCTTGAACCCCCTGATTCTTGCCCTAAATCGCTTGCTCAGGCTCCTTGGCATGTGCTGTCCTTGGTGAAATGCAGGTTCTTCTTCGTGTCCCCTGCAGTTGGGGTCCCCATAACATGCTACTCAAGCCCAGGTAGCGACCTCTCAGTTGGCTCTGCCCCCTTCCAGCTGACCTGCCAGGGCATGCTCACATCCCAGGACTTGTCTTTTGGTGCCAGTGACACAGTGGTGGTTAGACAGTGTCTGCAGTTCTGTCCTGTCAGCACTTAGCATGACTCACATGAGGACAGAGAAGACTTGCCCATCTGATTGGGCAGAGATCAAAGGCTGAGGTGATGATGAAATGTGGGTTTGTGGAATTAGACAGTCAGCACTTACAGAAACAGTTTGAGAGGTCCTGGCTACCATCACAAGGTGAGATTTAATAGCAGTAAATGCAGAGTTTGTTAATACGGTTCCATAGGTATTTGTCCTAGTACAAGAGCCTTTCTGTGCCAGAGACGTGGGGAATTTACTTGACCTCAAGTCAAATGTGAGCCAGCAGTCGGAGGTGCTTATTGTAAACACTGGGGCAACAGATGACAGCAAGCACACGAATAGGGGCTCAGTGCCATCGGTGATCACGTGTTGTCGGGTGCCCTCAAGTCGATCCTCAAGGCTCTGATCCCAGCAACGCCATGTGCAGCAGAATGGGACACTGCCCGGTTCCGTGCCAGCCGCACAGTTGCTGCTGTGCTTGAGCCCATCGCCGCAGCCACTGTGATCCCATCTCGTGAGGGTCCTCTTTCTCCCTGACTCTGCTTTAGCAAGCATGATGTCCCTCCTGCTGATAGGGCCAAAGTACAAGAGACAGTCTCCCTTCTAAGAGGCGTTCCGGCTGTGCTTCCTCCAGGACAGATCGGTTGGTTCTTCTGCCAGTCCGTGGTGTGTTCAATATTCTTCATAAACACCGTAATTCAAGAGCATCAACGTCTTCGGACTTCCTTGTTCACTGTCCAGCTTTCACATGCATACGAAGCTGTGGAAAAGACCATGGCTTGGGGCAGGTGCGCCTTAGTCTTCAAAGAGGCATATTTGCCCTTCAACACTCTAAAGAGATCTTTTGCAGCAGATTTGCCCCGTGCAGTACGACATCTGATTGCATGACTGCTGCTTCCACGGGCATTGATTGTAGTTCCAAGTAAAGTGAAATCCTTGACAACTTCAACCTTTTCTCCTTTTATCACGATGCTGCTTATTGGTCCAGTTGTGAGGATATTTGTTTTCTTTATGTTGAAAGCTTTAGTCTTTAGTCTTTGAACTTCATCAGTAAGTACTTCAAGTTCTCTTCGCTTTTGGCAAGCAAGGTTGTGTCATCTACATATCTCAGGTTGTTGATGAGTCTTTCTCCAATCCTGATGCTGCCTTCTACTGCATATAGTCCAGCTTCTTGGATTATTTGCTCAGCAAGCAGATTGGATAAGTGTGGTGAAAGGGTACAGCCCTGATGCACACCTTTCTTGATTTTAAACCATACAGTAGTCCCTCGTTCTGTTCTAAGAACAGCCTCCTGGTCTGTGTACAAGTTCTGCATAAGCTCAATTAAGTGTTCTGGAATTCCCATTCTTCACAGTTTTATCCATAATTTGTTATCATCCACGGAATCGAATGCCTTTGCATAGTTAATAAAACACAGGTTAACGTCTCTCTGGTGTTCTCTGCTTTCAGCCAAGAGCCGTCTGACATCAGCAGTGATAGCCCTTGTTCCATGTCCCCTTCTAAAGCCTGCTTGAATTTCCACAGTCATTAGGGAAATAGAAATCAAAACCAAAGTGAGATACGGCTTCTGCCCACTTCACAGCCACCACAAGGGCCATTACAAATAAGGAGAGTAACAAGCCTTGGCGGGGATGTGGAGAAATTGGAAACCACTGCCCAGTCCTGTGCCAGCCTCACAATGCTTGCCGTACCTGGGCCCATCGCTGCAGCCACTGTGTCAGTCCATCTCGTTGAGGGCCTTCCCCTGTTTCGCTGACCCTCCACTTTACTCAGCATGACATCCTTCTCCAGGGAATGGTCCCTTCTGACAACATCAAAGTAGGTGAGATGAAGGCTGGCCATTCTGGCTTCTGAAGAGCACTCTGGCTGCTCTTCCTCCGGGACAGATTTGTCCGTTCTTCTGGCAGTCCGTGGGACTTTCAGTATTCTTTGCCATACCACAACTCAAAAGCATCAACTCTTCTTTGACTTCCTTATTCATTTTCCAGCTTTCATGTACATATGAGGCAATTCAAAATACCATGACTTGAGTTAGGACCGCTTTAGTCTTCAAAGAGATATCTTTGCTCCTTACATTTTAAAGAGATCTTCTGCAGCAGATTTGCCCAGTGCAGTATGACATCTGATGTCTTGACTGCTGCCTCCATGGGCATTTATTGTGGATCCAGGTAATATGAAATCTTTGACAACCTCAGTCGTTTCTGCATTTATTGTGATGCTGCTTATTGGTCCAGTTGTGAGGATTTTTGTTTTCTTTATGTTGAGGTGTAACTCACACTGCAGACTGTAGTCTTCATTCCTCACCAGCAAGTGCTTCAAGTCATCTTCCCCTTCAGTAGGCAAGGCTGTGTTGTCTGCATGTCGCAGGTTGTTAACGAGTCTTCCTCCAGTCCTGATGCCGCGTTCTTCATATAGTCCAGCTTCTCGGATTATTTGTTCAGTGTACAGATTGAGTAACTATGGAGAAAGGATACAACCCTAATACACTCCCTTCTTGATTTTAAACCATGCAGTGTCCCGTTGTTCTGATTGAATGACAGCCTCCTGGTCTGTGTACAGGTTTCTCATGAGTACACTGAAGTGTTCTGGAATTCCCATTCTTCTCATTGTTACCCGTAATTTGTTATGAGCCATATAATCGAATGCTTTTGCATAGTCAATAAAACACAAGTAAACATCTCTCTGGTATTCTTTGTTTTCAGCCAGGATCCATCTGACATTAGCAGTGATATCCCTTGTTCCATGTCCACTTCTGAATCCAGCTTGCATTTCCAGAAGTTCTCTGTCAATATACTGCTGCAACCATTTTTTTTTTTTATTATTGTGATTTGGGTGAAGATTTACAGAGCAAATTCACTTTCCATACAGCAGTTCACATATACTTTGTCTCATGTCATTGACCACAGTTTACCACAATGCAACAGCTCCCCTCCCACTTCCTCCCCATAGTTACCTCTTCCCAGTATCCATCCCTCCATACACTCCTGCCCCCTGAGCTGTCTCCCTGTGCGTAAGCAGCTCTTCTTTCTCCCATAATTGTTCTCTCCAAGGGGTATATCTACTTGAGGTAAGTGTTCAACTCATATGCCTGTCTTTTGTTTGGCTGGAAACCACAGGTGTGGGTTTAATTCCAGATCTGAAGGGCAGCTAGGGGCCATAGTCTCAGTGGTTCCACCATACTCTATCAGACCAGCAAACCTGGTCCCCACAATTTTTTTTTTTTCTCCAAATGATTTTGAGTTTTGTTCTACATTGTTCTCCCTCTCAATCAAGGCTCTCCTACATAGATCCCCTTCCAAGTGGATGACAGTGGTAGCCGGGCACCATCTAGTTCTGGTCTCATAGTTGTATAGGCTGTGGATCACATGGTGTACCACCAGTCACTAGGACTAATTGTTTCCATGAATTGTGATTTCCTTCATTCTTCTTTGCTCTGGACGAGGAGAGACCCATCGTTGCATCTAGATGGCAGCTTGTGCTGCAACCATTTTGAATTATCCTCG